AGTTAATTTCTCATGATCTCAGAACGGAACAAAGTTTAGTGTTTTTAGGTATGAGAAGATATTCTATCTTATACTTTTTTGGTTATTAACATTTGCTATGGGATTATTCTGTTAGACATCGTGAGAATATATAAGGGAAAAAATTGCCCCTATACTTGACAAGTCCTCACTAACGTGGAGGAAACAAATAATGTGATGCAATAATTTCAATACAAGATTAATATTTTGGGAACATGAAAGAAGGACCTTTTTTATAGACTTCAGACATAAGGTAATATTTTAAGTGAATTCTGAATGATAAATAGGAATTTAATGAAAGAGAGTAAGAGGTCAGTCTTGAATGTGGATTATGAAAGAAGGTATAAACTTTAGTCTGACTTACAAATGAGGGACTTACTTGGTCAGGAAGCATTTTGCAAGCCATTGGAAGTGCCCTTGGCCAAACAAAAGGTAAAACTGATTACATAGGAGAGGAATCAGAGGTCAGTAGTCGAAAGAAGCATTTCCAAATAGGGTACTTAATTCTGAGTGTAGAAATGGAGACAAGAGGGTGAATTGAAGAGAGCTAGGAAATGAGTGAACAGAACGAATAGGGAGGTAACTGTTGGGAACAAACATCTGAAATAGGTATTGATTTATATTTTAGACACCTTTAGGTTTTATCTCATTTTATTTATGGAAATCCTATAATGTAAGGGAAGGTACATGTAAACAGCCAAATATCGTAGGAAGGGAGGCTGAGGATCATGTGATTTTTCTTCACTGAGGTAAGAGGGGGAAAAGGAGAGTTGGTGTGGGCAGGTGAAGGAAAGATCAGTACTTGGGTTTAGAACATATTTAGTGTAAAGTGCCTGTGGAATATCTGTGGAGAAATATAAACATTGAAACATAAATGCTCTGCTTTGTTACTTGTAAAATAAGGATGATAATGTTTGTCCTCCCTATTCTATAGGACTGTTCTAAAGCCTTCCATGAAAGAATAGAAATGAAATTGCATTGAAAAATAGAAAGCAATGTACAATGGAAAGTTCTTTTCATTATGTTTGTTTAATGAACATTTTTAAAGAAAGAATGGCAAGAAAAGCTAATTGAAAATTAATTATGTATCTTAGTCATTTTGCTGGGTCAAATTTTACCTGAAGGGCAGAAATATCATTTGAATATAAGAACTTATTACTTATATAGAGACATGTTCTATTCCTTTTTCAATGCATACTTCATATTCTAAGAGTAGCTTCTAGGGGTGCCTGGGTGGCTCAGTCGGTTAAGCATCTGACTTCGGCTCAGGTCAGATCTCATGGTTCATGGGTTCGAGCCCCGCATCAGGCTCTGTGCTGACAGCTCAGAGCATGGAGCCTGCTTCCAATTCTGTGTCTCCCTCTCTCTCTGCCCCTCCCCCCCGCTCATGCTCTGTCTCTCTGTCTCAAAAATAAATAAACTATATATAAAAAAAAAAAAGTAGCTTCTAATGAAGTTTAATAAAGACACTGGAGAGAATAAAAATGCTTTTTATTACTTTTGGTGCACATTTAGGTTGAACCTAATGAGGGTCTTCTCAAGTTCTTTGTGGTGGTGGGGGGGGGAAGATGACCTCACTGACAAGCAGCACTGACTCTATTCGGCATGACTTTGTATATGTAATTGGAGTTTTGTTTGTTTTTAGCGGTCAATTGCATGCATATCAATTACAATAACATCTAAACCAAGGCAACTGTTACAACCTTTTTTTTTTTTTTTTTTTTGCTATTTCTGTGTTGCCGCAGTTGCTAATTTCAGAAGAGGAGTTTGCATTTAAATTTGATGAAGCACACCACATCTGCTCAATTTCAGTCAGATTCTAATGGGGCTGCCGAGGGGCTATGATAGAACTAAAAAGAATGTTCTCCAGACTCAAATAGTTAAAGGAACCTCATAATAGAGACTCTGGGTCACAAAAAAAAAAGATTTGGTCAAAATATTAAATCCCTTTAGAGTTTTTATAGGGAACAACTTAATCTTGAGTTCTGAGGGGGAAAAATACTGATGATAGGATGTTGATAGAAGTAAGTTTTCCTCTCTGCTGAAATTCTTGGATTACAAAACAGATGACAGACATTCAGTGCTCATCATAAAGATATTTAATAAATTTGGTATTAAATTAGATTGCATGGACATAGTGGTGATCTTTTAGGTCCTGGTTTTTTTGAGAATGTGATGAAAGCTGTAAATCCCCTACATGAAAGAATGTACAGCCACATGTAAGCACTAAATACAGCCCATGTTTTCCAGGTTCTTCAATCCCCAGAAGTGTATCCTTAAACTTCCAGTTCAAGAGAAACCAACTTCTGTAATACAGAAATCTTAAGAAATATCTGATCCATGGATTCATAGGAACATAAGCAAGGCATTATGTTTTGTGTGGGGATCGGATTGGGACATTCTATTCTTTGACTGAATTTACCGTGGCAAGCTGCTTCTAAGAGAGCTCTCCATGGACTATTCCTTCATTACATGACTTCCTACCCCAACCCTGCCCTAGCAAACATCCACTAACTTTTTATGACTTAAAATGTTTATTTCCTTCACAACAATTAGTACAATCAGAACTTATTTTTCATTAATACTTTTGTTGCAGCCTGTTCTAACTAAAAATGTAAGTACACGAAGACCTTATCGGTTGATAGCTATATTGTCTAGCACGTAGTTTTGTTCAGGGATTATTTTTCAAATAAGTAACAGTATTATCTAGCTAGAAATCCCATAAAACTACATATTGGTAGCATAAACGAATTCATGTGAAGTCAACAGTGGTATAGACAAAGAGCTTAGCTGGGTGTGTATTACCAAGCTCAGTATAAATTTCTATAACCTGCTTAAATTTAAAAAGGATAATGCTTCTTTTAGGCTGTCCGTTTCTTGATCTTTTCAAGACCTTTGTCATATAATATTCACTTTTTGGAAATGTCTGCTGATAAAGTAATATTTCCAGGTCTGATTGTGGTAGGGAATGATCTATTATGGCATTATTTTAGTGTGTGTGTGTGTTTTTTGTTTTGTTCTTAAGAAAATGGGTTCAAGCTCTTCTAGGCAGACTATAGCATTGGTAGGGATGCCGATTGGTACTGAACTGCATTTGTGTGTATGGTTTATCAGGAAACTTCTTGCAGCACTAAGGTATTTCTGATAACTTCTCCATATTTATCACGTTGCTTCACATCTGTAACTAGGATTAATGTTTTAAGATGGGTATAGTTATGAAAGGTACTGTGTACTCTTGGCAAGGTGCAATCCTATGTCCTTATATCATTTTCAAGTTGTGTTTAACGATAATTTGTACTTGTAAAGCATATTTGGGAATCAATAAATGGAGCTTAAAAGGGGATAAGTTTTCTACCATCTGGTTTGACATTTTGGAGACAAAGCAGGCTCTAAACAGGATTAAAATTCCTCTCAGCTTAATGGAATAGTTCAACCCAAAGGGATAAACTGTATAACAGAATTTTAAGATGTGAATCAGATAAATCAGCTTGGTAAACTCAGTTTGGGAGGCTTTCTTTCTGACTGGTTAAAAGGTAGAATAGTTTTCTAGTCAATAGATTGTTATCAGTTGAATTCATTATTTCATAGGAAAATAGCTACAAGAATTCGATTTTTTTTCCCCCCCAGTATAAGCTCATTTCAAGAATATATTTTCTAAAGCCCCCGGACCTTCTCTGAAGAATCACTGATGATGAGAATTTTTAGCTAAGATTTATTTATGCTGAGCTTACTTAATTTTAGAAGCAGAAACCATTCCATGATCTTGACTTCAGCATGGATACAGTCTATTTAACTGAGTGATAATTTAGTGCCTCTGAACCTTTTGGGGAAATGACCATTTCTAGCTATGAGCAGTCAGAAATTAAGGCTTTGTGTTCTCCTATAACAGCTAAATTTTAATTTGATGCTCCCTGCCTGTAGTGCTAGGTAGACCACTTTATAGTAGTTCTTTTCGTGGGCCACTTACCATGTGGTGATGGAGAAGGCAAAGTAAGATTTGTCTGTAAATGCCCCTTTTTATAATGCTGTAACTCAAGATGTACATAAAGGATATAATCGTACCTTCCTTGTCAGGTCAGCAGGGTGGCATTTTAAAGTTCAGTTTACAAAAGTATCTTATATATTCTTAGAAGGCATAGCTTTTAGAAACTGCAATATCTATATTTTTCATATTATCACTCAAAGGCTACTTTTAATTTTGCTATCAATTACATTCAAATTTAGCATTTGCAGAAATGATTTGGTAGTCCTGAGTGCTAAGTATACCAGTAGGATTTTCTTAAATTTTTTGGAAAAAGAAAGGAAAATTAAGTTAAAGGATTATAGTATGTAAAACTTACATACCTTAGAAAGAAAATAACTCTTAATGAGAACATAAGAATGATTTTGTATATTATATTTTAAAAAATCTGTTTGAAAAATTTATACTTGTAAGTTTGATTTTTTCAGATCTAAAGACCATTTCCCTATTAGGAATAAATTATTTCTGAAGCCGGTATTGAATTGGAATGAGTACTGTGGATTACAAACCTGAAATGACTGAGTGTGGTGATAAAATCCAAAAATTCCAAGTTTATGGTAAATCTTAGTAATTATAATGTTCTATTTAGGCATCTATCATTCTTTTATCCTACATATTGATAATGTACTGAAACGCTATGATTTTATGAACTAATAGATACAAGTGTAGATAATAGCTGTTGTGATTCAAGTGCCACAATTTCAGATGTTACACAAACACAATCAGACCATGATCATGTTAATATGTGAATGGCATAGAAGTTTGTTAATCTGATTAATTCAGAAAATACCAGTTGTACAGTTCATTTAGGATTAAGACTTTGTGAGCTCGGATTTCTTTACTGATTGGATTATGTAGATGATTTTAAAATGCTATTTCCCTCATAAAATTTGAGATTAAAAAACCATGATTAGAGTAAGTTATTTCAGGCACAAAATTGATAATAATTTATTAAGAAAAATGTTTTTGAACTGTAAATGTTTAATGCAAATCACATTTTAAACTCTGACAATAATAAAATCTGTGCTTGTCCTAGCAGCACATACACTATAAATTGGATATGGCGATGAAACCTTACATAGAAAACAATAGAGAGCTTTACAAGCTGCACATCTCACAAAAAAGCTGTGATCATCCAGGTTTTAAATGTGAGTGATACTATATTACATCATTAAAAAAAATAACCAAACAAGTAATGAAGACCCAGATACCCGTCAGAGGCCATCTGCTTAAAAATTCATTCATTTTTTGAAGTTGACTTTGTTTCTTCATACAAACTCTTGATATACAAAGTATTGGCTGATTTATTTTCATGATGTGTATACAATGGCAAGTGAATCCCCTAAATTTTCTAACTCTCAAAAGCAGAGGAGGACTTAGATAAACATTTTTAGAAGAGAAGACAACCTTGCAAAAGGACCCGAGTGGTCACTAAGTCATGCTAACTTTTTGTAGGCAAAAAGGAAATGAAATCTTTGTTTAACTTTGACAGTCTTGAGAGTGAGTTACTTAGTCCTATGACTTTGACAGTGAGATATTTGAGAAGTATGTTGTACTTGTGACATTGGAAATGAATTACTCTTAAGTGTTAACGTTTTTTTACACAATGCCTTATCTGAATTATTATATCCTTACTTTACAAAGGAAGTTATTATGTATGTGTGAAACTAAACATTTACCACAATTTAAGTTATACGTTATTTGTTAGAGAATATACTTTTTAAAATTTTAAAACCAACCCACACTAGTTTCTGTAAAACTGCCTTAGGTAAGTATTCTTAATATATGGAAAGTACATCCAAACTCCATGAAATGTGTGATAAATACTGATTATATGTTTTTGGAGTTATTAACATAAAATATTATTAAAGCTTTCTTGTTTAGCTACATTATTTTGCAAATATAATGAATCAGGGTAATAAGGGGTTGCTTTCCCATCTTGTTTTCTGAATTGTTCTTTGTACAGTTAAACCACAGACCACTCCCAAGTCTTCCCATTTTCTTCCAGACTAATACTGCCAGTAACTCTCCAGAGCTCATAATGTAAATCTAGACGACTTCACAGGAATTTTCTTTTTATGAGTCTTCATATGTGCTTCATGTACTTTCAGATTCCTGACACAAGTAATTACATTATTGCAAGTTGTGTGTAAAATTTAAGTTAAAATACTATACATAATTAAGAACAAAATTTGTTTAGTTGTATAATAACGGAGTAAAATCAACTCCAATCCAAATTTTCTGACTCCGTGGCATTTTTGCAAGCAACAGTATGGGTTGCTTTCAGTGAACAGAGTAACTCCTTACTGAATCAGGTTTAGCATTCAGTGTTAGTGAGCCACTAAACTTGGGGTAATATAAATATTTTATGTAAGGGATTTAGTTGGATTTTTTTTTTCTAGTTTATAGTTTTAAATAAAGGGTTAAGCCGAGAAGATACTTCCTTCTTGACCACACTTGAAAATTGGCCCATAATAAGTACTGAGATTAAACGTCAGTGTATTTTATAAAAAAATATTACTTATTTCAAAGAAGTGAAGAGATACAATTGCACAATGGTGGTTACAATGGTAGAAATACATATTGCCAATAAAATGTTAGCAAGAGATTTAAAAATGACTGTACAGCACCGCATCAGAATTCTAGAACAGCAAAATGATTAATATAATTTTTCCATATAAATAAAATCCTTAAATCTCTTTTAGAAGTAAATGGGAGAAAAGTGCTTTTTTTCCCCTAATTCCTACCAAAATATTTCCTGATGTAGAGCAAAAGACAGTAAAAAAAAAAAAAATGACAATTAAAAAAAAAAAGACATTCATGCATTTAAGCCATCATTAGTCTTTGACTCTAATATAAGGCAGGTCATTAATCTTTTGCAAAACTATAACTTGAGCCATTTAAACTCTTTTTAGTGCTTTTCATGATAAGGACATGATAGGCCCTGTAAATTTAGGTGTTATGATGTGTTTTCAACAGGTGGATTTAGACAGGCTCAGCTGTTGTTTGAAAAACCACTTTATAATAAAAAAAATGCTTTGGAGAAATGATGAAAAGTTATAATAAAGGAACAACAGAATGGATTCTATAGAGTTTATCACAAATGACACTGCTTAGATCAATGAAAACAAATTACATTTGCTTATGTGTCATCCTCAGTCTTAATGATGTGGAAAAGTGTGACATTGAACAGGACCTGGTGACCATTGTTCCAGGCATAAAGAGCTCTATCTCTTGCATTGTAGTCAAGCATGGATATGTGAAAGTATTGGTTATGAAAAGGAATGTCCGTGTACTCATATGTAGAGGTTTTGGTGGAATATGAATAATACACCTTGGCTCCAGTTAAGTGGGAGTTGGTGACATAGAGTGTCCCACAGATCATGAAAGATTCTCCTGCACTTCTCTTAGGATAGCCAGTGCTCCAGCTCTTCATCACCTCCAGGGTGTCTTGGTTAAGTTGGCTGATGACAATATTGCCTGCATTCTGGTTAGTTGCGTACACAGCCCACAACCCAATTTCATCAGCCATTAGGTCGATATCAGAGAATCCACCCCATGTGTAGGGGTAAACGTTGTGAAAACCAGCGTACTCCAGGCTTCGTTGGGCAAGCACTCGCCCCATATCAAAGCTGTATTTGATGATGATGTTACTCTGATACTTGTTAAAATAGAGTGAGCCATTGTAGACAACATGGTTAGTTCCTGCCCATTTGAAAGGGAGGTTGTATGTCCTTGATTCAGCCCCACTGACAAAGTCTGCAATTGACTTGTACTCACGAACAATTTTATTGTTAGTATAACTGTCCATGTACCAGACCTGAAGAAAAGGGGGGAAAAATAAAAGGAGTGACTAATGTAATTTTCTGAGGATCCAAGGTAAAGACAGAGTCCACACAATATCACTGTTCTCTGGATCTGGAAGCCACATTCTCTTACTGGTTACCCCCTGCAATATGATAGTACTACAGGCAAAAACCATGGTATTTTCTATGTGGAAAGTAAACAACTGACTTTACTGCTTTTGAAGACTTTCTTTTTGTTTTTTATCATTTGACCATTCAGTGCATATCACTGAGTGAACTAAACATGTATCAATGCAAATTATGTCACTTTGTTCAGTTTTCTAATCAGTGCAATGTGATAACTGCAAAAAATATCACCTGCAGCAAATTTATTCCATCTTTTGCTCTGAAAAATATATGGTCATGTTTTACACATTGATTTCTCCCTTATGGATACCATATAAATGCTAGTAATGCTTGTTCATTGGATTGGCTTATAAGTACAACTACTCTTTAGGAAACTATTTTACTAATTTAGCCACTAACCTCATTTGGATGTAACCCTTGAGAATCTTAATGTAAACAGAGTTCTGTAATAGACTCTAAGTAGAGCTGTGGTAAGTTTCCAGTATGTAGATTTGCATACTGCAGACATTGTGAACTTCTGAAAATACACCCAAAAGTTTCAGTGCTGTTGACTTTACAATTACCTCTAGATTCCAGAGCTATTTCCACCTTGTTGAGTGAGTTGGTTAGCTCTTGAGTTTTTCACTTAGTGTTATTTTTTTTTTCCTCACACTAAGGAACAGGTTTTAGGAGTATATAGAAAATTTTGTAGACTTGTAATCAGCATTTTTCTAGCATAAACCATAATTAGAATTTACTGGTGAATTGTAGGAACATTTTACTAAAATGTTCTGTAAATATACTAATATTATCAAACTAAGAATACTTGCAAACTGTGTAACACTTCCCAAGTTGAAACTGATATTCCTGAACAAAATAAATAGTTCAGTCGACATAAAGAGCAAGTAAAAAAGAATTCCAAGCAGACATTTGTGGAAGGAACCTACTCTGTTATTCTTCTCAGATGCTAAAGGATCTGTCATCCAAGCACCAAATCGGGTTCCAGATGTCTTGACTGTAATTGGGCCTGTGATTTTCATCAATTTGCCACATGCTGAAATTAGAGAAACATAAACATGTTGGGTGAATATGACCAATGACTGCAACACACATAGTTATACCAAAGTCAAACTCCTACCACACTCATAGGATACCGCACAAGAGTAAGAAAGGGATCCTGGAGTAAAGTAAAACCATGAGATTAATATCACATATTCTGAATTAATGATCATTCATGTTGGGTTCTGTGCATTTATAATTTGAAACATGAGTACTTGGCTTTTTCAGTGCTCTAAATCTAAGAGTGGGGAGTTTTGATTTTTTAAAATTTTTTATAAGTTATTTTGCTTTTGTTGTAAATTTTTTAATGGTTGTTTATTTTTGAGAGACAGAGACAGAGCATGAGCATGAGCAGGGAAGGGCAGAGAGAGTTGGAGACACAGAATCCGAAGCAGGCTCCAAGCTGTCAGCACAGAGCTCTCAGTGCTCGATGGGAGGCTCGAACTCAAGAAATGCCAGATCATGACATGAGCCGAAGTCGGCCGCTTAACCGACTGAGCCACCCAGGTGTCCCCAAGAGTGGGAGTTTTAAAATGGGAAATGATTTGTAAAATCTGGAAAGAAATAGTGAGGGAAGCCATTGTCATTATACCAATTTAGCAGCTGCTTCATCTAAATCGATCAGAAAAATCAAACAACTTGACCATGGGCCTGTTTACCTGATCACTTCCTCTGCTACCCCTTCCTACCCCATACCTTGAGATTTTGGACAACTTCTACAGGCCAGAAAGAACTCTGTAAGCTGATTTAAGGTTTGTTTTGGTGAACAGCTCCTGTGAACGATATTTATAGAATATGACAATAAAATTCAATCACAGTGTACCTGAAAGAGGAGAGTTTTGAAGGGTAAATGCCTTGTGTAGATAGCAGGGGCTTGATACATCAGCCATTGAAGGTGCAAACAAACAAAACCTAAAAAAACACAAACCCTCAAGACCCTGTAGTCACATGCAGTGAAAGATAGAGTATCAATCAATGCAATACACAATGAAAAATGAATGACTTTGTTGAAAAATCGTATTTTTATCATCCTAGCTGTAAGATTTTAGGAAAGCTTCAGACTTCATTAATGCCAAAACCTAAACCAAATAGAAACCCAAATGTTTCTAAAGACTTTAGATAGCAAAAATTAAAAGTGACTTATACACATGGTGAAAGGCAATAGGAGTGCCTCTAAATGTTGACCTTTAGTCTAAACAAAGGAATATCCTATCCATTTATACCCCTCCTCCCTTATTTATTTATTTATTTATTTTTTTACTTCATTTGTTTTTTTGTTTGTTCAATGTTTCTTCCATCCTCCTCTGCCTATCCTTGGAATTTATAAATTTCTAGTTAGTTCCTAATTCCATGTATTTGGAAGATAACCTATCCCTGAGGCATTTGGGTTGCTCAGTCTGTTAAGTGGCTGACTTGATCTCCACTCAGGTCATGATCTCACAATTCATGAGGTGCAGCCACGTATTGGGCTCTGTGCTGACAGCATGGAGCCTGCTTGGGACTCTTGCTCTCGGTCTCTCTGTTCATTGCCGGCTCTCTTTCTCTCTCAAAAACAAACTAAAAGCAAACAACGTATTCCTAAAGCAAATTAAGGACATAACTAACTCCAGCTTGGATTTTATTTTGATTCCTTTTTCTCTATATATGTTCCTGGTAAGAATAATTTGAAACTAGGAGGATACTAAGCTGTTGAGTTAGGAAGATGATAAATGAGAACGTTATATTTTGTGCTATTACTTTAGTGATAATGACACATCTAGTAATCTCTAGGACTTCATGAAACATGAATAGACTACATTTTTTTCTACTTTTGTGAAAGAAATTAGATATGAGGCATTTTATATACTTTATATAAAAGAAATACTTTATAATTTCCTTATACCTGATAAACTAGGCAGATAATTAAGCCTTTATGGCATTATCTATATTGAATAGCAAGATGTTGGGTTAAACCTGTTAAAAATATATCAACTTGGTGTAAGCATATGAACAATATATGGGTAAGTAATATCTGAACTGGACAAAAACAAATCTATTCTGAATGAATCTCATTGAGTATGTGCTCTGAAAGCACAATAAATGAAAGTAATATGATCTTTAATGATGTCCTACATATTATTTCTAAGTTCATCGATGATAGTGCACAAAACATTCAAGTGAATTGAAATAGGAAGATATCCCATCTCCTGAAAAACACCACCAAACAGGTTTACCCCCTTAGGCATGAATAATAAATTCTTTTATTAAACAAAATATAATTAGGTAAATTAGGTAAAATTTGAAAATAACTGGCTTAAATATGATGGACTAATATATGCTTTTATCTTCTTGCTTGCCTAAGATCTAATCGAAATGATAGTAAAGGAGTAAAACATGGATGGAAAAAAGCCCCCAGCAAAAAGAATGGTATAAGAGTTAGTAGAGAAGAAACTGTAACCAATTTCTAGAAAGCAGAAGGTGATAGAGAGTGGTAATTAAAGATGGAGGATAAGATAAGATGCATTAGTGGCCAGACAGAAGAGGCAAATGTTAAGGAGGGAGTTGCTTTGCTTTGAACAAGAGAAGGGACTCCAATACTGGAAGGGAACTGGTGATAGAGTGCACTGAGAGCAGGCCTGAAGAGCAAGTCTTTATCCCTAGATCTACGACCCCAGGAGGCATTTTAAATAAAATCTAAAAATCTGTCTTAAATACTTGAAAAGGATTAGGGCAACCAACGTAGGCATTGGAGGCCCAGAGTGAGGGCTCTTGCATTCTGACGTTGGCAGTCTCCTGCCTTACTCCCTATGGATTAGAGTGACAAGCCATAGTTTCCAAGCAGATTTATTGTTCAGATTTTTAAAAATGAATCGATAAAGATAAGCATGTGTTTTCCAAAAACAAACGGCAAGAATGACTAAAGTAAAAGTGCAGAGAAAACCGACACCATAAGGGCAATAATACAGACAGCAGAAGAGATCCTAGTATCTTTAGAGTTTTGTAAATTGCAAACTGTTCACTGTAAAAGGAAAACAGAAAACTACTGGAAATTAAAAATACTACATTTTTTTAAAAAAAGTTGGAAGATAGCTATCTCAAAAATTAAAAAGACCATACAGAAAAAATATGGATGCATGTAGGATCAATTCAGAAGTTCCTATATCTGAAGAGCAAGTTTTTAGAATGAAAGAGAGAAAAAGTAAATTATCAGGGAAATTATACAGGATATTACCCCAGTTACCAAATCTAAATGCAGGTATTCTATACCCTTCAAAAGTTTGTGTTACCCCTGGAAGTGAAAATGGCATCACCAGACTCCTTCCCTGGGAATCCTACTCCACACATTACCATCAAGCTGCCATAGCTTTGAACTTTGTCTAAGAGCATCAGTGCTTTAACTGAATTTGTTTTGAGCATCTGTTAGTAAAATGTGCCCTAAGATATCAGAAAAGCCTGAGAGAGATTTTTTTGTTTGTTTGTTTAGAAATTCTTAAGAAGTTTTCCATGTACGTTAACGGTGATTGCTTCTTTGCTTTATGCCATTTTGGATTTGGAAAGTTTTCATAGGAATGCTCTAGCACTCCTTGATAGTGGAGGAAACCTTTGTTCAGATTAAAAGGTCATGCTAAGGGGCGCCTGGGTGGCTCAGTCAGTTGAGTGTCTGACCGGCTCAGGTGATGATCTCACAGTTCATGGGTTTGAGCTGTTGTTGAGCTGAACCTCGCATTGGGTTCTGTGCTGACAGCTCAGAGCCTGGAGCCTGCTTAATATTCTGTGTCTCCCTCTCTCTCTGCCTCTCCCCCATTCTCTCTAAAAAATAAACATTAAAAAAATAAAAGGTCATGCCATAATGAACAGAAAAAGATTTACTATTAAAAAATGACTGAAATTTTAGATAAAAGAAGAAATTGGAACTTGCTCAGAGAAAGAATGGCATTTGTTCACATGAAAACATCTGAGAATTAGACTGGCATTGGGCTTATCCATACTGGATGCTGGAAGACAGTAATCAGTATATTTAAGGAGAAAAATCATGAAGATAGAATAAGGATATTATCTCACGTGAAAAGTTTGCAAAAGTTTATCTGCAATATACTTAAGAGGTTACCTGAGGGTATATTGTAACAAAATACACAGTAAACCAAGACAGGGCAAGGCATGAGATCAGGAAAACAGTAACTTCTTGCCCAAGAAGGACAACTGTGCAGTAGACCTTGAGAGCAATCCGACAAACATCTGCAGTAAGGAGGTCTGGACCTAGATCAGTATAATGTCTCAATATGAAGCATACACATAGTGGAATGTTCATTTCCATAACACTTTATATCCAGAGGAAATGGCCAAGTAAAGACACCGTAAGAAATTATAGTGACCTCAAGTTGTGTTCATACTGAAAGCGAATGGAGACTTTGGAGTTATGGAGTTTGACTTACGGCCAGACCATATAATTGAAACTCAGAGTGAGATTTTTAACCTTCTTTCTCAGCAAAGTCAGCTCCCTTAACATAGGTAGCCTCTACTGCCTGTAGGCTGAAGCACAGTTTGGACAAATCAAGAAAGCCAATCAATATTTGCTTCAGATAAGTGCATATTTCATGTTGATTCATTTTATGGGTATGAATGAGCCTCTGAACTCAGTTTATGTAATATGAATTGAGTTGGATAGATAAAACCTGTACAAGAACTGTATTTGGGACTAGAAATCATGCCAAGAATCTCCTATAATCAACATTTCCCAAAACTGAGAGCACTTGGGGTGTCTTGGCTTCTGTGGTGTCCGGGTTTATCCAGCATTATATCCATATGGCAAAGGGATACTGCTGAGCCTAGATCACTTAGACCAGGAATTAAGATAGAATTTACACCGGGACTTAAAAGCTTCTGACACCTAAACTAAAAATGACTTTGCTTTCTTCTTGTAGCGATGGAGATTTTCTTTCATACATTAGAAAGTAAAATTAATATTTAATACTCATTTGTTTGAGAGAGAAAGTGCATGAGAGGAGGAGTTAGGAA